TAATCTAAAAAGTCATAAAAAATTTAAAATGGGAAATACATTTTCTCCAGCATTCAGGGAAATATAAGTTAAAATAACTAGGTATATTTTTAAGCTCTGCACATTAACAAAAATGGAAAGGAGCCATGATACCTATTTTTAAAGGGGATGTTGAGAAAAGCTTTCTTTCATATATTGCTTTGGAATTGTGATGTATGAGAGTCTATTTTAACCAATAATCCACCTCCTCAAAGTATATCCCATACAAACACAGAAGCCATAAATAATGACCTAAATGTCAGAATATTTATTGCATCACTGATCTTGGTAGAAAAACAGTAGAAACAAAACTCAGACTCAGCAACATGTTAAATTATAATTTATCCTATCATGAAACCTGTCTGATTGTTTGAATATGTGTATATTATTAAAATACACACAAAACTACATACCAGGCTATTAACATGGGTGTGGGCAGGTTAACATGGCTGTATATGAGAAAGGAAGAGAAGGAATCCCAAAAAGGGGAAAAGAAAAAATGACAATATATTCAAAGGCATGTGTATAACCACATTTATGCATTTATGTAAAGTTATATATATGTATGGCTAAAACAAAATTAAACATTAAAAAAATTCTCTAAAGCTGGCCCAACTCAGTTTTTCCACCAGAATTCTCTTGATTCCCCAGCACAGGCTCTCAGTTTGGGTCAGAATATATTCCTTGATCTGCCTCACAAAAACAACCAAAAATACTTCTCTTTGTTTCTCTCATGGAAATGTTCTCCACCTGCTATTCATCACTCAAGTTCTCCAAAGCACAATTGATGTGCCACCTCTTTCCTGAACATACCAGCCCACATGGAGTCTCTTCTGAACTTCTTTATCCTTACAAAATAATTCAGCACTTAATTATATAGAATCATGAGTTGTTCTGATTCTTTTATGCTAGTTAGTCTTGTCTCCCCAACTATTAGTCCTATTCTATGAGTCTATTTCCCTTAACACATGCATCATCAAATTGTACCTTTAGTGTAGTAATTGTCATGTATAGTGTAACGCTTGATCTTGGGTTTCCAAATAGGGATACAGCTAGGGAAGTAGGTAGCCTTGACCTCAAAAGCTCTTAGTTAAAATCTGTGCTCTCTTACTTCCTAAGGGATGTACCTGAGTACATTTTTCTCTTAGCCTTAGTTCCATTATCTGTAAAATAGGTTTCTCAAGTTCAATATAAAATTTTAAACAGCCTAGGTTATGGAAAGAACTCTGATTCTAAAGTCAGCTAACCTGGTTTTGAGTCTAGACACTACAACTGTTTTATTTCAGCTAGTGCTAAGCAGCTTTAGTCGTGTCCAGCTCTTTGCAACTCCATGGACTGTAGCCCACCAGGCTCCTCTGTGTATGGGATTCTCCAGGCAAGAATACAGAAGTGGGTTGCCATTCCCTCCTCCAGAGGATCTTCTTGACCCAGGGATTGAACCTGGATCTCCTACATTGCAGGTGGATTCTTTACCACTGAATCACCAGAGAAGCCCGATCTCCTATAGGACCCAACAACTATTATTAACTTGTGTCTCTGCATTCAAGTGATTTTGGTTTGTCAATAGCTATAATATGCGTTGAGTAGCACTGATGTCACCACATAATTTATTTCCCTAACTGGCATAATTTTAAGTATGAAAAAGGAACTATTAACTTATTACACAGGGTGGGAAGGCAAGTATAAACAGGGACTGTCCCTAGAAAACTGTTAGAAGCTATGGTGACCCCCATCTAGAGCAAACATTCTAGCAATAGATACCTTATTCATGAGCAGCAGGAGATAATTTTATTCTCAATTCACCCTTCCTATTCTCAATCCTAGGCTTCCCTGGTGGCTTGGTGCTGGTGGTGATTTAGTCACTAAGTCGGGTCCAACACTTGCGACCCCATGAACTGTAGCCTGCCAGGCTCCTTTGTCCATGGGATTCTCCAGGCAAGAATAGTGAAGAGGATTGCCATTTCCTTCTGCAGGGGATCTTCCGGACCCAGGGATCGAACTCGCATCTCCTAAAGATTGGCAGGAGGATTCTTTACCCCTGAGCCACCAGGGGAGACTACTGTATNTCGACGGAGGAGCCTGGGGGATGAGGGAGAGGGGGGAGGGGGGCTACAGTTCACGGGGTCACAAGAGTTGGACACGTCTTAGTGACTGAAACACCACCACCACCATTGTCAACCCTGCCCCTGGTGAAAGGAGAGGTCTTTTGTCAGAATAAAGAGACAGACTATGCTGTCATAACTCATTAGCCACTTGATAAAAGGCAGTCAATATTAACAGGCCTTCATTTTCTTTATGTTGTCCCTCAAAAACTTCTGAAGTATATAAAGCAGAGGTTTCAGGTTGATAGATAAAGGATAAATCTGAACTTCGGGTCATTTTATTAGGCTTACACAGTATTTTTTTTCCAAGGATTAGAAAGTGTTGCTAATATTCTAAATTGAAATATATAGGCAAATACCCTCATTTGCAACTTCTCTTGAAAAATTGGGGACATGTGTTAAAACTGAAACTTCATTATCACTTGTCAAGGGTCAAGTGGAACTGAACTGTCAGTGCCTCCTCTCCCATCTCTCTTCAGTTCATCACACTTCTCCTAAAATTGAGGTTTAGTTTCATTCATCATTCCCTTTGTCATATTATGATCTGCCTGCCTAACTCACTCACAACTCCTGCAAAGACCCTGAAAGATTTTAGATGCTTTTTGGAGTTTCATGTAAACCTCTTTCAAGTAATTTGCAGCAAAGATTTTCAGATTGGTGCTGAAAACAATGAGAGCAGAGTCTTACAAAAGCTAAGGAGATTTAAAAAGGGACGAAGGATATAGACTAGACAAAACAGTGGACTCTGCCCAACTAAAGTGGGTTTTTGTGGGTTGAGATATGAAATAATATACAAAGAGGTAGGAAATAATATACAATTACTAAATATTTATGGACTGACAGACAACTAGATGGATTACTCACCATCTGAATATCATAGGTAAGTGTGATTATCTACAGCTTTTTTTTTTAATAACATACTTACAGATCTGCCTAGAATTTATAAAAAGGGACACAAAAATTATATGCAAAATAAAAGCAACAATGTTTATTTAACTTATAAAACTGTTGGGGTCAAACTCGGTAATAAGTAAATGTGACTTTAAAATATAATAACTATAAAATGTTATAAGGCTTGATGATGAAGATGAGGAGGAGGAGTCATTTGTATCTATAGAGCATGCTTTTTGGTTTGGGAGGCTATCTGAATATCCAGGTAAAGTCTATATTTCTTGCTTCTGTATTCATTTTATTCATTGATCACCTCTTGTTGAAAATGGACAAAAAGTCATTACTAATATGACTTGGGTCAGCTTGTTACTTATTTTATTTATTCCCTGTACTCCCTGTTCCTTGCATATTGCCATTCAAAAAAGGAAAGAACCAAGATTTCTGAGCACCAGATGTGTTTGAAGCAAGGGCCCTGGACAATCTAAGCTTTGAGGAGTGGAACCATCAATATACAGAAGACAAAGAAAGAAAAAAAGGAAAAAGAAAGATGGCCAACTTTCCATTCTCCTTTGTCATACCAAGAGACCACTCACATTTCTTCATGGCATTCCTAAAAATCCACTTGTGGCAAAAGGAATTTTGTGTGCTGCCCCACTTACAATATTAGTAACATTAGTAAGGAATATAACAACTAATATCTAATGAGACCTTAGTATGCAAAACACTTATCTCAATCCTCATACTAGCCATATAAGGCCAATAATATTATCTCAAACTTATAAATGAGGAAATTGAGGAACAAAAGGATTAAGCAAACACTAAAAGTCACGCAGCTAGGAAAATGCATAGTCAAAATCTGAACACAGATAATCTGATTCTACAGGCCATGCAGTCGGCTTCCTTGCCAGGTAGTTGCTTTTCGTGCTTAGTCACTCAGTTGTGTCCCACTCTTTGCAACCCTATGAACTGTAGCCTGTCAGGCACCTCTGTCTATGGGATTTCACAGGCAAGAATACTGGAAAGAAAGAAAGTGAAGTCGTTCAGTTCAGTTCAGTTCAGTCGCCCAGTCGTGTCTGACTCTTAACAACCCCATGAACCGCAGCACGCCAGCCTCCCTGTCCATCACCAACATCTGGAGTCCACCCAAACCCATGTCCATCGAGTCGGTGATACCATCCAACCATCTCATCCTCTGTTGTCCCCTTCTCCTCCTGCCCTCAATCTTTCCCAGCATCAGGGTCTTTTCAAAGAGTCAACTCTTCACATGAGGTNAAGTTAAATAAGCAGAGTAACAATATACTGCCTTGACCTACTCCTTTTTCTATTTGGAACCAGTCTGTTATTTCATGTCCAGTTCTAACTGTTGCTCAGGCATGTCCAATTCTTTGCAACCCCATGGACTGGAGCCTACCAGGCTTCTCCAACCATAGGATTCTCCAGGCAAGAATACTGGAGTGGGTTGCCATTTCCTTCTCCAGAATACTGGAGTGTGTTGCCATTTCCTTCTCCAGGGGATCTTCTCAACCCAGGGATTGAATTGGTGTTTCTGCTGTCTCCTGCATTGCAGGTGATTCTTTACTCTCTGAGCTATCAGGGAAGCCCAGTTGCTTTTTACTACAAACATTTATATATTTTTCTCCTGCTGACTTTTTTTGTGTTTAGAAAAGAGCATTGGCAGTCATTCACCCTTTCTCTCTTTTTCTTATATCCCCTTCTTATTATACAATGAAATTTTTATAATAATATTTAATTTAATATAAAAACATAAAATGTTTTGTTATAATGTGGTAATAAAAGAACTTACCTTTATATAGCATTTTACAAATTATTTAATAATTTAGTAATTCTTCCAGTGCTCAGAAAATCCAAGTTTGTAAAGTATATATTAACACCATTATTTTCTTAGTAAAAAATAGGAAACTCAAAGAAAATTTGAGTTTCCAAAGTCACACTGCTATTATACACCCCATTTTGACTCAATCTTGGTTTTTCTTACCTTGTATATAATGTTCTTTTTGGTCTCTCTTCCTATACTTTCTCACTTATCTCAATGCCTGTTGCAAAAAGAACCATTACAATGCTATGATAAATGAATGAGTGAACACAAGTCCTAATAAAAGATCACTCCAATACATATATTCTTGTACAGATCTGCTAGCTTTCTTATTCACAGGATAGAAATGCTGGGTGCTAAGACTGAGTTTTTCTAGGCTGTTATTTAAGGGAAAATGGTAAGGAGAAACTACAACTTTTGGTTAGTGACAATGCAGATTAAATTATATTCTCCCTCAAGAATTTGGAATTAATTTAAAACAGATTTTTTTAAGAAAATGGAATAAGCTGTATTCCTTTGATATTTAAGCATCTACCATGTCCAGGAGAATAAGAATAGCATTAAAAGAAAAAGGAAATTTTGAAAATACTAAGGGGAAAATCTAGACCAACATCCCATAAGAATCATAAGTAGCTCCACACAGTTAGTAATCTGGCTTTAATTAAGACAGGAAGATCTACAAGCCCTTAGTGTGTCAGGCAATTAGCACTCTATCTCACATTAGGGATGTGTATACAGTATGCATGGGCTTGGCTAATTACTATTTTCAGAAGGACACATATAACAGAAAGAGAGACTACTGTCTAAGGAGCTCAAACTGATGCTGCAGCTCACTCCAGGGAAATACAATACTGCATAAACCTCCAGTTTTACATTTTAAAGACAGATTACTGTGTAGTTCATTTCATCAGCAATATTTTTGAGAACCTATCATTTATCAGGCACTGTTCTAGGCACTAAAGATAGTGATCAAAATAGAAAAACTAAACAAAGCAAAACTTTCTTCACCCATGCCAGGTACAATCTAATGGACGAAAACAACTTATAATATAAAAACAACAACAACAACAACAAAATTATAGTATGTCAGATGTACACTGTGGAGAAAAATACGTGCAATGGAGTGGGGCAAGGTATGCACATGATGGCCAGGGAAGCATTACTCAGGATTCCCCTGAAAAGGTGATGTTGGATCAAAGCTCTAAAGGAGGTGAGACAGGAAGCCATACACATATTTGGAGAAATATAGTGTTCCAGACAGAAGCCACCACAGATACAACAGTTCAGCGGTAAGGAGAACTACAAGGAAGCCCTGTGCTCTATGGGGTGAGAAATGGAATATTTCCTGCCATATCAGAGAACAAAGGATGTCACAGTCATCAGCAATTGTAGGCATCAGCCAAGGGTAAGCTGGTAAGCCCTGAGAGAACTTAGGAAGGAAAGAATACCTGCCATCTAGCAGCTATCAGACTGTAGCCACTCCTCATGGTGTGTCCTGAGGAAACTCAGAAAGTGAAAACACAGGATATTGGCCCCAGATAGGTAGGTACATATGAAAGGAATGATTTCAGTGAGCCCAGGCTCCTATATCTTCCCATACATGGAAAAGTGCTATATTCCTTGACCTGAAATATCTGGTTTCTTTAACTGACAATCTTTCGACATTAGGATTACCTACCCTTTATTGCAAAACTTTTGCATATCCTAGCTCCTCCCACTGCCTCCTCAGAGCAGTTTCTCAGAGCCACCTGAAAAGCCGTCTCCCGGGCTGCAGTCCTCATCTTGCCCTCAAATAAAACCTAATTTGCAACTCTCACAGGGTGTAAAATTTTTTCAACAGGGGAATTAGTAGGAGATAAAATCATAGGGCTGGTAACTGGTATTGCAGTTCATTTTAAGTAAGGTCTGTATGACACAGGAAGCCTTTAGGGGGTTTTCTGGCAGAAGAGTGACCTTATCTGATTTAAGTCGTAAAATCTGTTGTAGCTATTCTGTCATGAAGGGAGTGTGTGAGGGGTAGCAGAAGAGAGTAAAGGACACTGGTTGGGAAGTATTTCAGTTATCTAGTGGGAAAGGTGATGGTACTTTGGACCAGAGTGGAAACAGTGAAGATGATAAGCAGCAGTTAAATTAGGCATGCATTTTGAAGATAGAGTCACAAAAGGAATTAACTAATCATATGTGGGGGGTAAGTGAGAAAAGTATCATGAAGACTGTAAGGAGTTTGGTCCCAGTAACTGGAAAGATGGACTTGTAACAAAATCTACTGATTAAACCAAACAAACAAGAACAACATAAAATCTATCTACCTTGCTAGCAAAATTTTAGTTATATAACACAATATTATTAACTATACCATTGATTGTCAGAACTTAATCACCTTGCATAACAAATGACTAGTACCTTTGACCAGCACTGTTGCAAGCTCCCTTTCCCCTAGCCCCTAGTAACCAACATTCCACTTACCATGAAAGAATTAATTAATTAATAGGTGAACTGAAAGTCACTCAGTCGTGTCTGTCTCTTTGCAATCCCACGAACTGTAGTCCACCAGACTTCTCTGTCCATGGAATTCTCTAGGCAAGAATACTGGAGTGGGTAGCCATTCCCTACTTCAGGGGATCATCCTGACCCAGGGATTGAACCTGGATCTCCCACATTGCAGGCAGATTCTTTACCATCTGAGCCACTGGGGACTCCTTAATTAATAGGGTTGGAGAATATTTTTGGAGGTGGTGGATATGTTTATGGCACTGATTGCAGTGATGATTTCAAAAGTGTATACTTATCTCCAAATTCATCACATTGTTAGCATTAAGCAGAACATTTTGTATGTCAATCAAACCTCAATAAAGTGACTTAAAACAAAATGGGGATTTCCTTGGTGGTCCAGTGGCTAAAACTCCACTCTCCCAATGCAGGTGGCCAGGATTCAATCCCTGGTGAGGGAAAAAGATCCCACATGCCACAACTAAAGTCNAACCTCAATAAAGTTACTTAAAACAAAATGGGGATTTCCTTGGTGGTCCAGTGGCTAAAACTCCACTCTCCCAATGCAGGTGGCCAGGATTCAATCCCTGGTGAGGGAAAAAGATCCCACATGCCACAACTAAGATCTGGTGCAGTCAAATAAATAACTTAAAAACAAAGCATAAAATGTCAAATACGGCAATACTTGCTTCTTAGCCCCAAGAAAAAACAAACTAGTAAACGCTCTGGCTTTACACTAAGAAATATACAAAAATAGGTATAATGTACTGTTATACAGAGGATTGTTCCATTAGGCATCAGAGAGGAGGAAAGAGGTGTTCTTTCTCTGATAAGCCTAGCTTGTGGCCATGTGGTCCTGGAGCAGGAAAACCTTGAAAGCCTAAACCTTGCCAACAAGGAGACAGGTTTAGCACCTGGATGTCAATTTCTTTGTTATAAACGGAAATTCTTTGGTACAAAAACCCTACCTGAAACTTTCATAGAATAGGATAAAAAGGACATGCCATTTAATAGCACGGGTGAATCTAAATGAGAAAAATGCAACTATTCACTTTTTATAAAAATAATTCTATAGAATTGTAGAATTAAAACAAAATCAACTTAGAGTTTCCTATTGAGTTAACCTTATCCTCTCCCATGATTTATTTGTCTATCAGTCAGTTAGTCAGTTCAATCACTCAGTCGTGTCCGACTCTTTGCAACCCCATGAGCTGCAGCACGCCAGGCCTCCCTGTCCATCACCAACTCCCAGAGTCCACCCAAACCCATGTCCATTGAGTCGGTGATGCCATCCAACCATCTNATCCCAGGGACAGGGGAGCCTGGTGGGCTGCCGTCTATGGGGTCACACAGAGCTGGACACGACTGAAGTGACTTAGCAGCAACAGCAGTAATCCTCCTTTACCTAATCTGTAATTGATAGTACTCTTGGTCTCACAGAGTTGCTGGGAGCAATCAACAATCCCACACAATGGACTTACACACAGTACATGGCACACAGAATAACTCAAATACCAATTCCTTCTAACATTATTATTGCCATTAATGTTATACAAGAGCTTGTTTTTATTCATATGAGTTTTCATTGATTCACAATTTCTTCTTGTTAATTATTTCACCATCCACCCATCAGAGAATTATGCATGAGCTGACCATGTACCCTGTGACTATGTCACTATGCCTTTAAAAATCCTTCCCTGAAAAAAACAAATAAAATAAAATAAAAATCCTTTCCTGAAATCCATCAGGGAGTTGGAGTCTTTTGAACTTTAGCTGCCCATAGTCCTTGCCAAGCACCTGCAATAAATACTGCACTCTCCTTCAACAAACCCTGGTATCAGTAGATTGGCTTTACTGGATAAAACTCAATAAGATGCATGATAAGTAATCACATGAATGTGATCCTACAAATTCGTGTTAAATTTTCACAGTCCACAAAGACTCTGGAGATTCTCCTCCATATACTGAAGAAAACAGGTGGGAGCACCTGAAACCAACCTCAAAACTTACCTTCATTGTATTTGCCTTTTGGCAACCCACACACTTTTCAAGCCCACGATGAGAAGAGCACAACTTTTGCAAGGAGGAACAAAGAACAAAAAATTGCTTAGAAACTCAATAGACCAGAAAGAGAGTAGAAAATTAGCATGAAAAAAAAAAAAGCTTTTCATGTTGACTACAGTTGCTGTAAAACTACTATTTGGTATAGGTCAAATTAGTTATGAAAAAGTGTGTAGGAAGATACAACTTTCAGTAAATTGCATTAAAAACTAAGCAGGTAGGTAGCTTCTATTTGCTGTTAATACAAGCTGATTGAGCTGTCATCTTTGAAGAACTTAGAATGGCTAGATTTTCCAATTATATTTGCCCCAGGTAAGTAACACATTCTTCTAATACACTGTCCACCCAACCTCAAAAGCTTCACCTTTTCCTTTGCTCACTCCCTACTCTTCTTGTTACCATGTCTAATCACCAGAATTCCCTGAACACGACCTCTACTTCTTTGCCTCTGGGATTTTGCTCAATCTGTTCTCTGTGCTTAAAATGACTTGGCTACCCACCAAGTTAAAGGAAAGTCTATTCTTCTTATAAGACTCAATACTAAAGCTACTTTCAAAGGCAATTTTCTGACACCTCCATTTAGAAATAATTATTTCTTTTAAATAAGCACTTCTACAGAAATGTTTCTAAGCCTCAAAAGATACCTAATAAGATGTAATAAAGAGTACATTCTCATCACTCTAGCTATGTGACTTTGGAGAGATTAAGATTTCTGATCTCATTTTTTTTTCTTCTGCAAAATAGAATAATAACCTTGTAATCTTGTAAAAAAGATAGTTTGTTCATGTTTATTAGCATTCATATGTTAGTTCCTGGCATAAGTCCTAGTTCATATACGTATTCAATTAGTGGCAGCAATTAACAGCTTCTTATGCTTATAATTATAATAATCCCTTTATCTGTGTGCTCCCTCATTAGACAATTTTCTCCTGGAAGGTAGATACCAAACCTTTTAATTCATTTCTCTATCCATATCCCCATCCCAATCTATCAATATTTGTCACAGTGCCTCGTATTTAGCAAGCTTTTCTTTCCCCAATAAAAGCTTCCAAGCTTATTCAAATAATATATTATATATGTGTGATGTTGTGATTTATAATAAGAATAATATAGATGGTCTTCATCCCCATTTTGGGGATAGAGTTCCTAAAACCCTTTGGGTTTCCCAAGTTGCGGGGGGGGGGGGGNGGGGGGGGGGGGGGGGGGAGCCTAAAGGTGTCCTTTATTATGTTAATTAGTTGCTTTATGGGAAGCACCTATGGACAATCAACCACGTGATTAGAAAGCTGAAACTGCAGACCTGGTATCCTGACATCTGGGGAAGAAAAGTAGCTGGAGATGGATTTCAATCACCAATGGTCCAGAGCTGTGTAATGAAGCCTCCACTGAAAACCCAGAAGGACAGGTTTCTGAGAGCTTCTGGGTTGCTGAACACATGGAAATTTGGTGAGAGTGGCACAGCTGGAGAAGGCATGGAAGCTCTGCGTCCCTTCCCACATACCTTGCTCTATGCATGTCTTCTATCTGGCTATTCCTAAGCTATAATCTTTTCTAATAAACCAGTGATCTAGTAAGTAAAATGTTTTCCAGACTTCTGTGAGCCTATCTAAAGAACTGACCAAACCCTAGGAAGGAGAAGCTCATGGGAAACTCTAATTTATAGCCAGTTTGTCAAAAGTGTAGGTAACAACTTTGGCTTTTTTTTTTATTAACTAATTTATTTTAATAGGAGACTAATTATAATATTGTAGTGGTTTTTGCCATACATTGACATGAATCAGTCATGGGTTGTGTCCCCCATCCTGAACCTCCCTCCCACCTCCCTCCCCACCCCATCCCCCAGAGCACCCTGAGCGCCCTGTCTCATGCATCGAACCTGGACCACTTTGGCTTCTGACAAGCATGTGAACTGCGAGGGAGAGGGGAAGCAGTCTTGTAGGACTGAGTTTGTAACCATGAAATTTAATTATATTTCTGGATAGACAGTGTCAAAATTCAGTTGATTTGTAGGATATCTAGCTGGTGTCCCAAGAATTGCTTGCTGGAATGGGAAACCTCCCCCATCACTCACATTGGAATTAGTATCAGAACCTATTGTGTGTGTGTGTGTATGTTAGTAGCTCAGTTGTGCCGAACTCTTTGTGACCCCACAGACTGTAGCCTGCCAGACTTCTCTGTCCATAGAATTCTCCAGGCAAAAATACTGGAGTGGATTGCCATTCCCTTCTCCAGAGGAACTTCCCAACCCAGGGATCAAACCTTGGTCTCCTATATTACAGGCATATTCTTTACCATTTGAGTTACAGAGAAGTCCTACCTATTTAGCAGGTCACCCCATATTTTAATGGCTCATCTGAATAAAATTGGTCTTATACAGTTACCGAAATAGAATAACTATTCTGTAATTTATCTATTATTTTTATTTTGAAGTTTGAGTACTTTTATAAGGGTCTGAGGTTGAGAAATTTAATGATCAGCAGACAAACATGTAATAAAACAGAGTCTATCTTATATTAATAGAGATTGATTTATAATAGTAAAGTACAGCTTACATATATTGTATTAAATGCCTTTAAGTATCAGTTTATCAATTATAAACTGAAAGAGACTTCAGTTCAGTTCAGTTCAGTCACTCAGACTTAGGGTCTATCTAATCCAACCCTAATTATTTCATAAATGAGCAAATCAAGACACAGTATATGTTTTGTAAGGGGTTTTTAGGAGACGTGAAGATTGAAAGTCACAGAACAGACTTAAACCTAGGTTTTTTCATTATTCTTTCTTACCCAGCACTTACAAGGCTTTATAGAGTATTTCTATTTCCTGGTTGTTTTATCAATATGATAAAACATTAAAAATTATTTTAGGGAGACAAAAACAAAAGTTTTTTTTTTTTTTAGGATGGTCATAATAATTTTGAACTGAGTATCTTCAGGTAATAATAGGATTTAAGCTGACCTTCAAAAATATAAATGACTTGGATAGTCTAAGGAGATCATAAAGTTACTTCAAGCACAAGAAATAATGAGAGAAGTGTGGAAGCAAAACAAAGGCTTGCTGAGAGATAAGGAGAAGAATATGGGTTGCAGAAGCATATTTACAGAACCCCAGCCCCCAAAATGCAGGAAATGACATAATTATAAGGGACCTGAGAAACATGTAGTCCAATTCAATCATATGATAGTCAAAAAAACTGAAACATCTTTTCCACCTAATTAGTAACTACATCTGAAGCAACTGAGTCTGGTTCAATTTCAGACACATTATCTTCAGGTTGAGTGTGAGACAATTTAGTACCTGTGTTCACAAACTGAGAGGGGGGTAGGAGTACGAGACACAGATTGAGATGCTACACACATAAAAGTGAGAGCTGAACTTATATAAGGAAAAAGCTCTTAAAAGAGAAGGGGAAAAGAAAAAAACCAGGAAGAAAAAATATACAAGGCCAAGACAGATTCCTAGCCAATACTCACATCTGGTTGGCAGAAAGAAAGGGAATCAATGAGAAAGTGAAGGGCCTCAAGTGGAGTATTTGAAGAAAAAAAAAATCATAGTATTTTTAGTTCTATCTTGGGAGAACTCCATATCCTAAAAGTCACTGTGGAGGTTGTCCACTGTGTATACACCCATCAATTTCAAAACGCTAGGCTCTGTTTTAGTATGTATGTCTGGCCAAAAATTTCAAATCTTGCATGAAAAACAAATCTAGGAAGTTCAGCAAAGCATTTAGAAAGAAGAGAATTATATCAGACTAGTTCATCCTCAGAAATGCAATAGTGAATTGAAATATTTTATTAAAATTTTGATTTCTAAGTAAAAGTCTCTCCAGACTACTTGTTAAATATTAGTTATCAAATTTGCTTTAGCTCTGAAACCCCTCTTTTACCAGCATTTATGAGACACAAATGAGGCCTACTGTCCAACTCAGTGGAAAAGGCTATACTAGTCTGGTAAAATTGCTTAAAATAAATTGACAGATCTGGACAGCAATATCATTGGAGAAGCTATATATAATCTTGAAAGAGATGGTAGAAGGAAGGGCAATTGGTAAATAAGTTTAAATTAAAAAGCTTGCAACCATTCACTTATTCATTGAATGATGCTGTCTAAACCAGAATGAATCATATATTAACACTATCAATGCTGAAACACAACTTATGACTGTTTTTCATGATTACAAAGGTGTTTGTGTGAATTTTTATTCAATTTTCAAAGAACTGATGAACCAATTCAGGATGAAAGTCATGAAAGTCATGACCAACTAAGCAGATAACCTTAGGAAGTTCATTTTTCCTTAATTTCTGGCTCTGTAAAATGAGGGGGTAAACTGGATAAACTGAAATCCCTTCTCTCTTTAAAAATAATTATGTAGTTTTTATCAAAGCCCCTGCAACTTAACTTTTCATATAGTTGTAATATAGATATGGATGTAGGTATGGGGTACATAATATGTTATAGGTAAAGCATTAAATTTAAACATTAGATTGAAATGAAAAAGATTTTCTTTAAAAAAAATACATTTGTGGGAGGTTTAAAGACAAATATAGATACGTGCTATGTGGAAAATTCGTACAAAACTTTATGAAACATAGGGAGGCAAAAGTTCTACTCCTTAACCTCTTCTGTATGAAGGAGGCTTTATCCTCACCTCTCCAAGTATCAGGTTAAGATCCAGTTTACAGATAAAGAATCACGTGAGACAGATACCACATGACAACTGGCAGACTGGCTGGATCTTGGCAGGTGCCTTCACGGCCTCTGCCCAGTACCTGAGCTTAGCAGGGCTGAATCACCAGTTTCTCCCCCTCCGTGCAATTAGTGGCATTAATCACTCTCTGCCACTCTTAACCATGAATATTCTTGTAACAGATAAAGGTTTATCTATATTATGAAGCTTAAAAATGAGATGAGAAGCCAAAAGTCTCCATCAGTCTCACTCAGAGCCGCCTTCTTTGCCTTTGAGACTACATCAATGAGGGGGAAAATAAAGCAGTCTATGGTCTAAGGATGGGTCTCCAACCTCCAGGATCTAATGATCCCTAATGGCCTGATGATCTGAAGTAGAGCTGATGTAATACTAGTAGAAATAAATTGCACAATAAATGTAATCTGCTTAAATCATCTCCAAACTATACCCCTCCACATGGACCATGGATAAACTGCCTTCCATGAAACCAGTCCCTGGTGCCAAAAAGGTTGGGGACTGCTGGTCTAGGGTATATATAAGGATCTTGGCAAACTAAAGGTGCATCTCTTGCCTGAACCTTTTCATCACACACACAAATACATGTAGCATAATATCATATGTTTATAAAATGAGAGAAGCACAAGAGACATTAGGTCCTCTAACAGTTTTAAATCATGATTCCTGGAGAACCTGAGTTCTGTGCAGCTGTCTGAAGGAAACTGGGGAAGGTTGGAAGGTCTTCAGAGGGTGGTGAACTAGGCCATCATATCTCTGATTCAAATTTTTAAAAAAATCATTTTCATTTCTCACACAACCAAGATGCTGGTACTTTAAAAATACTTTAACCACTGATCAAGCTCACTTTATTCAATTAATATGTTAACAAAATTAGTGACCCAAAGTTAAATACTTAACCAACGTTACAAATCTATGGCAGAAATAGGACAAGAATCCAGGTATCTAGACTTTAACTTCAAATGGAAATGAGAAAGTTAATGAAAGTAGTGATCACCTGTGATTCTGGATTTTCCATGAGGTTGCTATAGCTTATGAAAGTTGCATTATGAAGAGACAATTAAGAACTTAAAGAGGTAACTAGGCAACAGTAATGCCATTTTCCTAAAAATAATATGAGGGATATTATGCAGGGATGGTTTACTTTTGCTTCAGCTGAGCTGTTGCATATGTAGGAGAAGAGAGGTTGAGCATCTGCTGGGAATTAGCATAGACCTTTTCTCTACACACCTGTTCTGCAGAAGAATATTGATAATGAAAGTGCCTACTAGCTTGTTCCTATGTAACTAACAAAATCCAAGCCTGTAATATTCCCTGGCCGTATCATTACAAAAGACAGATTCTGATCTGTAAGATGGCACTAAAGAAAACAAATAAGGTAAAGTTTGATGAGGAAATTCTGTGGGTAGAGTTGTATGGAATCTTAAGCCCTCTGGGCCAGTCCCTCTTGCTGGGCTTTAGTTTCCCCATCTGTAATAAGGGGAATGGAATTGATCTCTAAAATAAATTTCAATTCTTACACGTCAGTTATGTTGACTGGGGTATAGTATTCTTTGTATTTTATTTTTTTTGTTTTAAAATCAGATTCAATGCCTAGAGGGAAAAAGACAAAAAAAAGAAAAATATTAGCAACTGTTTTAGAAACATGGTATGAAAGCCTTTGTATTGCTGTGTTTAAAAATACCATCTCAGATAGAGCTGGAATATGGACCATGAGTATTATTAAAAATATTCTTTTGACTAGAATAGAGGAGACACAATTCATTTTTAAATAAGATTTGTGTGTGTATGTGCGCCTGTTCATATCACACCAACTCCAGGCACAGACTGGACAGTTTAAAACACAACTGGAGTTAAAAATCTGTCAACCTGTAGGCTGATCTCCCTAAAGTTTATAATAGCCTCAAACGGGTCCTTAATGCTGACCAGCAGTCAAAATATATTTTCACTCTCCTGGAAGACTTTCATGTTTTTTTCCCTCACTTTAAATTCTGTCTTCCAACACCTCCTCCCCAGTGCTCACTCTCAGCTGCTGGTTTTGCTTCCTGTTTCCCTGAGAAGACTGAAGAAAACTTTCACAGTTCCCATCCACCCCCTGGCATCTGTACCCATGTATTCTGACTTGCTGCCTGATACTCAAGACAAACTAACTGCATTCCCACCAAAGCCTATCTCCTTTACTTATGCAATGGTTTCCATTACTGTCACCTACTTCAGACCAATAACTTCCCCATGCTCTCTCCTTATTGAGTCAAAGCCAGCCTCTCTCCACACCCCACCTCACCCCTAGGTGATAACTCCCATCACCATACAAGCATACCCTTTTAATCCCTAAAAACTGGGGAGGAGGGGGAAGCAACCTCTTGACTCCTGTTTTCCTGGTGGTTTTTTCCATATTTAATTGTTTCCTTTCATTGAAAAATTCCACAGAAGTAGGGTTAGTAGTTATTGTTTATAACTCTTCTTAAATCTTCCACAATAGGTTTTGTTGCTTGCTGTTCCATACCTCCACTAAGACTATCAGAGTCACCAATGGCTCGTCAATGCCAAAGTCAGCAGTCAATTCCTAGTCTTCATCTTACTTGGTCTATTAAGGACTTTTGACACAATTGCTTGCAACTCTCTCCTCAATACACTTTCCTCACTTGGCCTCCAGTGCACAACACTTCTCCAACTTCACTAGATGCTCCTTCTCAGTCCTCCCATCTCTTGACCTGTCTACTTTGGAAAGCCTCCATGACTCAATCTTTGGATTCTTCTCTTTTTTATCTTTATCCCCTTCCCTTGGTGACCTCATAATTCCTCACAGTTTTAAACCTTATCTACATCTGATACCACTAGATCATCATATTTCCAGGCCAGATATCTCTCCCTAACTCTAGGCATTTATATTACATACCTGTCTTCTTTATATTTCCACTTGGTCTAAAAGAATCATGTTCAAACTCAACCGACATTCTCAAATGAACCTTCTGACATTTGCTAATGGATCAAATTCACTCACCATTTTCCCATATCAGTTGATGAGTAAACCTTAGAGACCAAAATCTTGACCCCTTTTTCTCATTACCCACATTTAGTCCACTTTCAAAATATATCCAGAATCTAACTATGACTTCTCAGATCTCCACAGTTGCAAGGCTTCTAATTGGTCTCTCTACTATTGCAATGACTGAGCATCGGGGTATGTTTGGAATTGAGAGTGAGCAGACATGAGGCAGATGAGTTTAAAGTGAAATCCATCTAATACGACTTCTTTTCTTAAAACCCTTCATTCAATGAACTCCCATTTCGCTCAGAGTAAAATACCAAATTTTTATAATTAATATATGACATCAAGTCCTGAAATAATCTTGCTTGGCATTGCAGATCCAAAAGCACATCTGTTTCCGGAAACGCTTTTTCCATATTCCCCTGTAAATGCATCTTTAAGAATTCAAAGCACATCACTGCACACATGCTTACAGAGTTTACTCATGACTAACACAGCACTCAATTATCTTTATAATGATAAGGACATTTATAATTTAATTATACTGTTTATTATGTCTCTCTGCTTTCAGTACCCTACACTCTTTTAAAAATGCTGCTGTCATTTCAGCTTTTTTCAATCCTAATAATTATTTTGGTTTCCCCTCCTATTACTAGTTTCTCAATTCACTTTCCTTCCTAATTTCAAATTTTGCATATCAAATTATGTAAGTGTTTTATAAACCTATTACCTCACTCTTGGTAATAAAATACTAATAGTCTTTATTTTTATTGTTGTTGATTATAAATGTGAACTTTTTAAAGAAAAATATTCTAAATACATGACAAGAAGGGGATAAGTGCTCCTTTTCATTGTTTCCTGTGTTTGTTAATACTATACGAATCCTTTTCATTGTTTCCTATATTTGTTAATACTATATGAATTATAAAACTGCATATACAGATGTCCCATGTGGAGGGACTTCAACAGAATATGCTCCTAGTTTATCTGGGTTATACAATTTGCAAGTTTGGAAGAAAAGGAGCAAGGAATGCTTAGTTCAACACATTTTTTATCTATTTTGGCTTGCTCCCCTATCTTCTGCCATGTAATATGGGGGTCAGACACTACGGAAATTGTCCGAAGTCTATACTTATGTCAGTTACTTGATGGGAAGGTCTAAAATTCAGAAGAGGAAAGTGGCCTCATTTGGCCACACATCAAAGTTCCATTCTCCCAGCTTTCATCAATTATACAGCTGACCTTTTGATAGCCATCTGTCAGTTTCTAGTGTTCTATTTATCAACTGGTTTAAAACCCAGGTAGGGAGGAGAGAAGGGAATTTATGGAGTCCATCACAATTCCAACATATTCAAGGATCACAATACTAGTTTCTAAACTCCTCATTCTTGCATGTATAATCTGAGGGCAGGAGGCTATAGTGGAAAGAATGGACTCTGGGGTCAGTCTTCGCTTCTAGTGTCAGATGTGTTACTTACTGGCTATATCACCCTGAGTCAACTTAGCTTGGCTTCTTTTACCTGATCTATAAAAGGCATGAAAAATAACTCCCTCACTGCATTGTTGTAGAGTAATATATGGAATGACTAGCAGGAAACTTGGTATAAATGTATGTTCAGAATTATTACTGTTCCCTTTATATTAATAATCCATGGAATAAATGACTGAAATCAAGTCATAAATAAGATTCACCAGTAGTCATGAGAAAGTTGCTTACAGACTGAAAACAACTGAGTTGTACTGACCACATATTTTGCAAAATAACCAATCTTTTATATTGAAGGGAAAGTAAATATATTATCTTCTTGAAAAACTGAAAGAGACTAATGAAGAAGAAAAAGGTACCAGTAAATGTCCAAAATTTCCACAGTAGCTGATGTGGGTGGAATAAGAGAACCCTTGATTCATCCAGCCCACGGCTTGTATTCTATATAATTACAAGTTTTTAATGGCTTCTGCAAGGGTGCTGTTGATCATTACATGACAACAAACCCATAAATATGTGTCTGTGTTAGAACACTAACACTCACTGGTTACTTCTGATACTGACAACAATACTCACTACTATTAATAAAATACATCCCCTTATAAAGCAAACTTAAATAATCCTCATAGATATCAACAAGGTAAAAAAGAGGATACCCAACTCCTAAAGTATACCTATAAATATCTGGACAAACATAATTGTAAAAGTTACCCAAAATAGAATGAGATGCTTTGTTTTGTGGCTCCCTACAACTCAAGAGATGCCCAAATATATGTTAAAACAGTCATTAATTGGAGTAGCTCTAGCAAAGGTTCATGAATAATAATTAGGAATTCTAGATGATCTTTGAAAGTGTTCCAACTTCCAGTACCTAGTACTCAAGAACTCAAAGCAAACCCACACTTATCTGACTCGGAAGCTTGTAACATTTTTTATAGTAAAATCTGGTTCCTTTGCTCATATGTAAATTACATAAACCTTTTTTTAAAATTATTAAGGCTGTACTGGTTTTGGAAATAGGAGTGCTTGTCAAATCAGTGCCCTTGCCAGCCTTTTGTCAATGATAATTACTCATTGCAGTGAAAAATAATAAAAAGTATCTATAGCTTCTTACCTATGGGATGATTTTCGGTCACTTAACACAAAAACAGCAAGAATGACTGACCTCTTCTCTTCTCCTAATCCCCAACCTTAGTAAAAATCTTAAAGTCTCACAGTAAAACTAATATCAGGTTTCAGGAGAAATTCAACATGTGTCAGAGACTGCAAGGACTCTACCCTGACAGCTCATTATTTTTTTTTCTCCTTTTTAGACTAGTAAAAGAGAGAAATGTTTTGAATTTCTGGCTTAAACATGTTGCTTATTAGTCACCCCTCAAAGCATTAAAGGGAGGGTCAATTAATCTAGGGCCAGAAGAAGCCTTAGCATCCCATGCAGACATTTTCTCATTTCTTATTTTAGAGATGTTGACATTTAGGAACTTAGGAAGAAACTGTTAACTTGCCCGAGGCAGTACAGTTTTAATAAACCCATTCACATAATGAC